AAAAAAAAAAAAAAACACATACATACAATTAACTAAACACTAAGCCTGAAAATTATTACCCATATATATGTCAAAGTTGCCTGATTGATCACTTTTGCTAAGCAGGATAACCTAAAACTAATGGCTTCCATTGTCATTTTAAAAATATATTATTTAAAAAAAAAAAAAAAAAAAAAAAAAAATCCTACAATTAAACATGCAGATCATGCAATCCTCATTAATGAGTAAAATATAAAGCAAATACAGAAGAAACAATTAGAACGAAGATGGTGGATTGGGGAGTTGAGGCAACTGTGAAATAGCAGCCTGCTGGTTGTGAATTTCTTTTAGTGCAATCGCTGCGACCTTTTTCTTTGCCACTCGATAATTCTTGCCACTTGCTGTGAAGGTGCCAAAGCCTTTTACCTGTAAAAATAAGATTTGAATTTGGATATGAGTTTCAGAGTAAAGCATTGTCTCACAAATAAATTTTTGAGAATACAGAAGAAAATACCAAGTAAATAACTAGGACTAAACCCTACTACGATATCAGTAACAAAACTATTCTTGCTCACCTTGTAAATTGCCCAATTACTCCTATATTGCCTAATACATAGAATTACATATACAATTTTTGTGTTTTACTTGGGTTTCAGTGGAATAGAATAAATCCTGTCTCATATTTGACAAAATTGTCAACTCACGGCTAAATTGGTTGAGTATCAGGGTGACCACACTGCTGTTACAAACACAGTGAAGTCTTGTTTCTTAACTACATTTTCCTGACTAGTGATGCATCAGATATGATTTCAAAAATATGCTGATGCACATGTGAATTAAGAATTCAGATACTGAGATTAATGACATTTGCAGATGCGAATTTTTAAGTATGGGTAATCATAATATACCCCCTAGAAAATAGTCCATTCAGTTTCTTTGTATGCTATATGCCATATTTCAAAAGAATATTACACACAAACACAAGTTAAGGAGACCATCACCCTGAATTTTCAGGTTTTTATTTTCTTTCTTTTTTTGTTTGTTTGCTAAGAAACACTGCCCTACATTGTGCAAAAGTTTTAGAGGGAAATTATCAAAACTAAAGACAGTGCCTTTTTTGTTGTTACCTCATGTGTGTAAACAAATATCACTCAAAATGAAAAACCTTCACTCCACAGCACCAAGAATCTCAACCTCACTAAGACCGTGTGAGAAGCTCAAGTACACAAAGGAAATCTATGGAGAACTCACAGCTTCCAACCTTCTGCCCAAATGCCTGAAGGGGGAGACACAAAGATAAGGAATAATACATCGGAAGCCAAGGAAGGTTTGCTCAAATGAACATGGTACCAATAGCTGAGTACAGGATCATGTAGAAAATTATAGGGCATATGAAAAACTGGATGTCTGCCAGGAACCCCCTGCTGCATTTGGCCCCTGGGGACTCCCAAAAGGGGGAAAAAAAAACAGCTAGATCAAACAGAGAGAGGTACCGCACACAATGTATTTCAGGGTAATTTACATATGACACTGGGTAAGAGATGATTCATGCCAGACATAATCTCTGCTGCATTAGGCCTGCCAGACGCCCAAAATGGGACTAAAAAATTGGACTGGATCAAACATTATTGGTACAACCTGAAATAAAGTTTATATTCTTCAGCACATCTGAGAGAGTACAGAATGGACAATGCCAGACAAATTACTTGCTGCATTATGCCTGCCAGACACACGCAAATGTTGACCCCATGCAGTGTTCTATCTGTAGATAAAACATGAAAGGTACTGAATGAAACTACTATTGAATGAAAGGTAACTTTCCAACAAGTACAAAGCATTATGTAAAGTATTATGCCTGCCAGACATGCCCAAAAGTGACTCTCCCCCCTCTCTGCTCTTGGATAACTAATGTAGATAAAACATGAAAGGTACTGAATAAAACTACTTTCCAATGAAAGGTACATACTGCCTGGCGCATTAGACGCCCAGCTGTTTTGTCATGTGTCCGGTTAGTAAGACATTTAATAGAATGTATATTTTAGCTAATCAGACACTAGATGTTGGTAAAATTATTGGTTTCATCACACATTTAGTTCAACTGACAGCTGCCAAAACCTCCAGAATAATACGAGTTACAAATCATCTGTACTTTTGGAGTCATCGCTCCATTCTATCTCAGATCCAGAATCATCAGCATCTTCATACTTGGTGTCATTCTCAATCTATTGACTTGCTAGTTCTTCATCCTCAAATTATTCGCTAGGTTCAGCAGATCCCGAGAACCAGACAAGAACAATATCAGAAATGTTGGCGTCCTTGCCACCCAGCCAAACACTATCACTCCACAGCCTTTTATGTCCCCAAACTGGTCATGACCTTTCAAATTGCTCTGCTCAGTCATGTACTTCTACAAATTGTAGTGGCTCCCATAATGTATTTTATAGGAGCTGCCCTGCCTACAAACTGAGGTAACAGTTCTCAGATTCAAACTAGACCTCACTTTACATGAGGGCAGACAGGGAGCACTACAAGATTTTTCTATCTCTACCTATTCTAAATCTGTCCTTAGCTCTGCTTCCCTCCATCTTCTCAAGATGTCTCGACATCTCCCCCAGTATCTCTTCCCTCTGTCCCAAACCATCCTTTTTTTATTCTCCCTCTCCCCCAGTCACATTCCTTTTCCAGTCAAAATCCAGATACTCAAATGTTTACCATTTCCCTGATCCCTACACCATGTCCACTTTATCTGTTGCACCAGGCTACCCTAACATTCCACTCCATCTTCTCCTACCACATCCTCTCCTTCACCCTCCTCTTCCTATAATCCTCAGACATCTATCACCTCTTCTCCTTACAAGAGAACCTTTGTTTCTCACCTAACTCTCCTCCAGAAACTCTTGACGACATCCAAAACTTCCTAAACATGACCCAAAACAATGCTCTGCTCCCTCATCCCCCCTCCAATCCCTCTCTTTTGATTTCCTTTATATTCAAAGTATTTTCCAATATCCATAATCCTCCTTCAGTTCCCCCTACCCCCTTCCTTCCACTCTCTTCCAACACACCCCATCCTCTCCTTTTTCATGTGCACCATTCCCTTTTCATTCCCCATTAACCTTACCACTCCCACCTGGATGCTCAAGTGAATCCCTTGTGTCGCAAGTGTCCTTTTCTGGATTCTTCCCCTCTTGACATTCTTCCTAATATGTTTCCACCTTCCCTAGTCATCTTATCTCATTCCCTGGATTCTTCTCCTCCTACTTTTCCAACAGCCTTCTCAACCTGTATTACCCATTGCTTATTTTTTAATAGTTTTTTTGTGTTATCCTTAAACAATATTCCTCATCCTTCCTCAGCCACAAATACTCTCCATCTAATCAAGTCGCCCTATGCCCTTAACACTTTCCTTTTTTACTGACCTCTACTTTACTTCATTTATTCTGCCTTTACCCTATTCACTACTATGCTATACTACAATGCTCTATAACCAGGAACATCAAACACATTTTATTATAAGCATTTACTCATTTTTACCCTTTTTGCCACAATCCTTTACCATAGTGGTATATGACCTTTTCTAAATTGCTATATGACCTTTGATGTCTAGCACTTTCATTCTGCTCAGAGAGCGTACAGAGATTGACCTCCATCATCACACGAGATATGCAAATTGCAGTGTTTTATCATGCCAGTGTTATAAAGTTGTGTGATAGTGGGGAGAACTACTTCCTGAGTAAATAATGGTAGTGACAATTGGTAGGCCTGCATCTTACCTTTATCTGTAAAACACTAGTGGATTAAACATTAAGGGTCGAATTCGTAAAGGGTGATTAGGAGTTGTAAGTTCTGATTAATCAGTTTCAGGGCCTGCATTTAATTACTTCAGATCTGTAAATAGGCAAAGACAATTTATTTTCAAATGCTATCTTTGCTAAACAGCCTTTAGGAATTCCACACTTAGTCTCTAAACATTGTTTCAAGTGGTACCAAATGAATATTCTTTTATCAGCACTGGGTGGGACCAACCTTTGGGTGTGTCTAGCAGGCATAATGCAGCATATTTGTCTGGTATTGACCATTTTGTACTCTCTGATATGGGTTGAAGTATATTAACTTTGTTTCAAGTGGTACCAATAATGTTTGATCCAGCCCAAATTTTTAGGCCCTTTTTGGGTGTCTGGTGGGCCTAATGCAGCTGGCAGTCTGGCAAGGGTCATTTTGTACATGGTGGAATGTTACCCTTCATTCAAAAGTAGTTTCATTCAGTACTTTTCATGTTCCATCTACATCAATTTTGCCAGAGCAGAGGGGGTTGGTCACTTTTGGGCATGTCTCACTTTTGGGCGTGTCTGGCGGGCATAGTCCATTCTGTACTCTCTCAGATGTGTTGAAGAATATAAACTTTATTTCAGGTGGTACCAATAATGTTTGATCCAGTCCAATTTTTTAGGCCCATTTTGGGCGTCTGGCAGGCCTAATGCAGCAGAGATTATGTCTGGCATGAATCATCTCTTACCCAGTGTCATATGTAAATTACCCTGAAATACATTGTGTGCGGTACCTCTCTCTGTTTGATCTAGCTGTTTTTTTCCCCCTTTTGGGAGTCCCCAGGGGCCAAATGCAGCAGGGGGTTCCTGGCAGACGTCCAGTTCTTCATACGCCCTATCATTCTCTACATGATCCTGTACCCAGCAATTGGTACCATGTTCATTTGACCAAACCTCCCTTGGCATCTGCTCCATAAGGTCAGCTAAAAGAAGTTTGCTGGTAAATTCCAAGTTGTACTTGTGGCACGTGTACTCATGCTGGAGCAAAATTTCGGAAAACCTTTTGATTTGCTCCAGCATTTATGCATGGCAATTTTCCTCCTCAAGGAGTGCTTGAGAATTCTGATTCCTTTTTACTTCAGGATTATGGAGAGAATGCACAAGACGACAGTGAGAAGGTTAGACATGAGTGCTGACTACCAGCCAGGGCCACTTAAAGTGTAAATATGCCAGTATCCTGCAGAGATATTCAAAGTTTTTTCATTTTTTTAATACTGGTATTTCATTAATTCATGTCACTTTTACATCATATAAAGTATGCTATTTTTGGTATTATTATTTTTTTTTTTTTTTCTGAAAAATGTAATGATTTTTTTTTTTTTTTTACTAACAAATATTGACACTAATAAAGGGAATGAAAGATGGAATAATGCACTACCGCACTTATATCATCAATATATTAACCTCTCCAATCAGGATTCAATCCCTCACCGCCGTTGCAAGGGAATATAAAAAAATAAAAATCAGTTCTAGATAATAAGTAAATGATGTCACTTAACCCTTCTCAGCAATTTTGGTTATTTATTGTGAAATGAGTTATATAACAGCATGGAGCACCAAACAAGAAGTGATTTTATTTTCTATTTCAGATATTTGTCAAATAAAACCATAATCATACCATTCTGAAAAAAAAAAAAAATAAATAAATCTAGGTCCCCTATTAAGGGGACCGTCCCTAAAAGGGGCATGGCCAATTATGGGGGTGGGGGGTCATATTGGTAAATATTTCTAAAAAATGAAAGATCTTATGGATTTTCTTGATTTTTGAATATTTTATGTATTTTCATATTCCCCATCTTTTGATACCAAATCTGTTGGGGTTCCTACTTGGGGGGCGCTGCCTCTCGCAAAAAACATTTTTTTCAATTTTTTTTAACGTGTGTCTGCACAAAAGATTCCTTGTCCCAGAGGATTATGATTTGTGTCATGAAAAAAAAATGTGAATGAACATCAATGAATTCCTAAGAACACTACAAAGCCCTTTTTTGGAAATTCGATTTAGTTTCCTCAGCAAAAATATAATGAAAAATTATATTTTTTAGTCTTTTTTTCGATTTTCAAAAATTTGTATAAAAAAAGTAAGCAACATTTCAATAAAATCGCTTGGTAGTTGTCTGCGCATTTCCACAAGGTTTCCAAAGAAATATCCAAAATTTTAATCGGATAAAAACTCTAGGACAAGGAATCTTTTGAAGCTCAAAAAAAGAAACATCGAAAACACAAACAAACAAAAAGTTGGATATTTGAAGATTATTTTATATATTTTTTCATTTATGGATCTTCCCATTTCATTGCTGTAGAAACTACTCTTATTCCTCTTTCAAATGCACTTTGTTAGGTAAAGATATGATCATTAGTCTCTAAGTTATAGAAACAAGCAAACAAATTACTCCCGTGAAAAGGGGCAAATCCAGACCCAAGACAATATGACCGTTATATAAAATCGGTTGTTTCGTGTTTTATACCTCTTTTATTGCTGTTTTCTTGTGTATATATTCATTTACATGTGCATACGCATGTAAATTATTGTAAAGGTACATGGTCGTGCACGCGTATATGCGTATATGCGCATATACTTATTAGATCCATAATTATTTATTTCATTTATTTATTTTATTTTTATTCCAGTCTATTCTTCTTCCCCATCCCCTAACCACGTGATTCAGCCTCGAAACAAGCGATAAATGTTTAGTCACTAGCGGAGTACTTGTTATGGAGGGACAATGAATTGTTTAGTGTTCGTTACAAATAACCGTTCCGAAAATGTTGATAGATCAAAAATATTTTGAAATACAAATCTCTTATATCAAATCTCGTATATTCGTTTATTGTGGATGCTTCTTGTGATGTAACATTAGGTATCAGATATTTTTAGGCCGATTGTACGAGTTTACACGAATAAATTCTATCATAATCTTTCTTTTCATTCATATTTTCTCGTAAATGGATTTATAATGACATAATGATGTTTAATTGATTATTTAGTTTCAAATGAAAGCGCATACGTAAAACTATTGCAATCAGAAAAGTCTAAAGCAGTGGTGATGCTTGGAAATTTGTCGCGTGGGTCCCTGCGAGATGGCCTTGGACGCGCACGAGCCTCCAGTCTATTCATTGCGAGTTCATTTTTGGAGATACAGACTTGTAACTGCTCATATATTATCACCGAATCCTAAACATACTTTTATGATGAATTTGTCAACATCGAATCATATCTACTATATTTTATGGGAAAGAAATTTGAAAAGTCGCATAATTATTTTTTATTTTTCTTCGTCTTTCATATCATAAATCTGTCACTTTAGTCTAAAACTGTTATAATAAGACACTTTTATCTTCCTGTGATCCATTTCAATAGGTAATGTCAAAATATAATGCATCTTATTAGCTCCTGTGAAGCTAGAATGCGGAAAGGTGAAAATCGCTGACACAGCAGCAGTGGGACTTGGGGTTCTGGAGTCGTGCACAGCAAAAATTTTTTGCCGCGGGAGTTCATATTCACATGGGTGATTCTACTCTCATTTACGAATATGAAACTGACCATAACTCATTTTCGACCACTCCAACCCAAAATCTCCGACTCGCCCCCCCCACCGCCACGGACGGTCCCCTTAAGGTGACCCATATTAGATGGTGACGATCCCCTTCATTATTTACCATAAAATGACAATTATTTGTAAAGTGATCAAAAAGTTTAGCCTTAGTAGTGCAAATGAATTTAGTGTGGCCACCACAAGGGTACTTCATTTGTTTATTAGCCTCCCCCAATCCCTTGCTCATTGTTCTTGTGGAGGGAGGTTTGGAGGAGGAGACAGAGACTGAGGCCCAATGAAGGGGATGACCCCTAACCTTGGACCTCAGCCCTTGCCTTAATTTTGCAGTCTTTTCTTCTCCATTTTAATTTTCTTTGTCCCCTTTTATTCATACCCTACAGTGTTGAAAGCCTTGCTGAAAGGATGACAGGCTGACTTTGTGTACATCCTGAACGAACATACCATTGTACTCGGTTAGTTCTTCCCTCTTTACCCTTTTCATTACCATACTAACCTACAGCTTTCTACAACTTTTGACATCTAACATATTTTGTCCTAATTATTAATTCATTTTCAACCTAGTGATCTATGTCCTTTGATGTCTGATATTTATTTATTTTGACCATTAACCATTCTAGGAATCCACAAACATCACTTTATGAACAAAAACTTTCACATTCAGGGGCTTCACACCAAAGCCCTAACCTACTGTCTTTTGAATATTCTGCTAATGACCCTAGATGTTGATGAAGCAGAACATTTTCAATAATAAAAAAAAGCTATCACACTTTTCACTTTCTGGTACCTATATTTCTGCACAGAGTACAGAAAGCTACCATTACAACACCAGGGGAGATCTGCTGTTGCCTACGTATAAACTACAGTAAAATGTACTCACGAGAAGAGAAAGACAATGAGAGAAAATATGGAGAAAAATAAAGAGAAAGAGATAATGAGTAAAGAAAGAGAAACAGAAACAAGAGAAAGTGAACATAAAAAGAAAGAAGGGAAGAGATAGGAGAGAGAAAAAAAAGTATTAAGGGAAAGAGAGAGACATGAGGGGGGGATAGAATGAGAGAGAACAATATTGTATTAGAAGATTTAAAAAAAAAGAGAAGATGAAAGAGAAAGATGGATTAGGAAAAACAAAAAGAGAACAAGAGAGACAAGGGGAAAGCGAAAAAAAAAAAAGGAGGAGGAAGATACAGGATGTGACAAATGAGAAAGAGATAAGTTTTGGACCAGTATAATTTCTCCTTATCTAACTATTTTGAAGGGTTGAGGACAGCTATGTCAAGCAAAGGAACTCACCTTTACAACATACGTTGACTTTTCACTTCCATCATCTTCACCCTTAACAAACTCAACTTGCTTCTCACCAGGCACTTCTTCTAGCAGCTGACGAATTGGGTTCAACTGTATTGTCTGAATGGATGTATTCAACAGGTCCCCCAATATCCTTTCTATTACTTGCCATGCTACCTGTTGAAATAGATTAAACAATAGGCTAAAGTTAATTATACTCAGCATCATAAAGCAAGGCAAATCATGCCACCTATATATCTGCATTCAGTGAACATCACATTTCTTGCTGGACACCAAATAGGTGTAGGAATACAAAGGACTACCTTCTTTAGCCTTTTATCTACCATTCACATCTACCATTCACACATACACTCTTGGGAGATGTTCTTTGCTCACTTAGGGAGATCTGAAGCTTATATAATACTCAATCTCAATAAAGAAATTATTACTGAAACTTTGATCTAAAGTTCCTTCATCAATTATGCATGTTTGTCATACTGAATGCATGGTTTATGAAATGCTTTCTTCACACAAGTATTTTCACTTAGATCCTGTTAATCTTATCAGATGGGTTTTTTTATGAAAAAAAAAAAAATATATATATATATATGGTATTGAATGATATATTATTGCCAGACTAATAGTTGTATTGTTGAATTTATTCCCCCCCTTTATATGTCATTCTACACAAATTTCTATGGTCTTATACTTTCAGAATAGCAACTGGAATCTGATTGGAATAAAAGAAGGCCTGCTAAATTTGCTTGAATTTTGTTTCTACTTTCAATTATGAAAGATAATTACTACCAATGCACTTTTTCTCAAATATATATGCTTGTGCAGAATAGGCAATGTAGACGAGTATGTACTTCTTTAAACTACATGGCCTAGAACTAACAGAAAATCTTTGCTTAAGGGTAAGTCTTGAAAATACACTTAAACTAGGTGATGGCAACATCACATCATGAAAAATCTGGGTCAAGGGCTGGGTGACGTGAACATGCCATCATGGGTTAAAAAAAATAAAAGACTGCAGGCCGGGTGGCACAAACTTGCCATCATGAGCAAAGGTCAGGGTGACGAAAAAGACTCCCCACAAGTGCACAAACCTCTTGGAGGGTGATTAGACTTTTGTGTTTAAAAAGGGACTTTTGCATTATTCACATCACTAAATGAGTGGGGAATGTAGTGCTCATAAGCCATGACTGGTAGAGGATCATTTCCATGCTCAGCATCACATTTCTGACTGCTGTGACTGGCAGCACATGTTGTATAACAGAAAATTGAATATTAAAAAAAAAAAACAAATTTATGACACAAATAACAAAATGCTACTTTTTTTTCTTGTCAATTGTCAGATTTATAGTAGTATTGTTTTAAGGTAATCCTGACCCAAGGAGACCATTATACACCTTGGAAGTGGATTTTCACTGGTTGTATGGTAGGTGGAATGGTAGTTCAGGGGAGCTCCACATTCCATTGAAGCTACAGTGTTGATCCCATGGAGGGGATAGGCCTTTCATGTTTTACAAGGTACTATAGACACTTTGTCTCCGGGACATAAGGGTGATAATCTACAGGTCTTGTAAACAAGGGCACTACTGTGCTCGGCACTGGGTCAGCAGGGTCAGGAGAGGCCAGGGCACCCGTGTGGCACTTACACCCGAGTTCAGTATAGCCGTTATTGTAAGTGGATATGGCGACTGACAACTCTAGGTGAATTTAACAATTATATTAAAACTACTGAATTTCATGTGACATGAATAAAGTAACGTAGACAAGAATCTAGATTTCGCAATTCTATGGGGAATAATACACTTGTCAGGAGATGGGATGCATCACTGCATAAGTAATTCTATCAATTGTATAAATTCATTGTTTGTGTCTAGAATAATCATTTAAAATTATACTGATACAGAGTGGTCATACTGAAAATTGGATGTATTATTCTTATAAAGACAAAGCCCACTCCAGAGAGAGTGGAATTATGGGGACCATCCCAAGTGAGTAAAAATTTTTGGGTCAAATTGAGTTAGCTAGCATATAGTATAGGTACATGAATGAGGAAACTACGAAACGAATAACAAAGCCCAGTTATGGATAGTTCTCAGGCAGCGCACATGAGACTCACTAAACACCTGGGGAGGTACGTTGCTAATGAGCGCCAAGTTACATCTATGTGGACTTTTCCTTGTAGCAATCGTGCATACGGCATTTGATTATGACGTTGCGCATAGATATGAGTTCGTGAATATTCGAAGAACATTTTTATACCAATATCAGAAAAAAATTATATCGGTGATTTATGACATTTTGTGAAATATATCTAAAAAAAATATGGAAGTTTTGTGTTCTTTTACACATGAAATGTATTTTTATCGAGACTCCCTGGTAACGTGTTCCATCTAACGAAGTGATCTGTATGTATAATGTTTGAAAATAGCTGTATAAGTAAGGATTAAATTATTTTCATTAGAATTTGCTCAACGGTTGGTACATTATGCCATGTGTAAATTTGATTTGATTTGAAATTGGTCGTTGCCGCTGTAAGGGGTAATTCAGTACCTAAAAGTCAGATTTCTGAACTTCAGAGATATCACCAAGATTATTTTATATTGAAGATGATAGTACACAGTAATACCCACTCTGAAATAAAAACTATATGAAATTTTGAACTTGATTTTGTGTGCAGTCTTCATCTAAAGTTGAAAAAGCTATGGCATCTGCTTTGTGCGTTTCCGATAAAAAATATTACGTTTAGACTTTACCATAGGTCTTAGGTACCATAAATTCGCAAATATCCATCCACACCTTGGCATCTGTATGATTTTATGCACTTTTTAGTGAAGATAATGGGTGCAAATGGCTAATCAACAACTCTACACTCATTTCTCATTGTAATCTGTTACTATTGATAATTATCAAAGGGATGACTAATATATTTTATTCCTTTACATACAAAAGTGGATGTAGACCTACTGAATAGGATGATTAAATTTTTTTACTTTATGTGTGTGATTACATACATATGATCCTCCTTGAAAATAATATACACCTAGTAACCATCTCCCCCTCCTCCCCTGTATGGAGCATGGGAAAAATTCAATTACTTTGGTAAGTTCTTGAATTCCATGTACGAAAATCATATGCTTTTAAAATTCTCAAAATTGAACCTGCATGTTGTATTCATGCTAGGACTTTACAACTAGGATGATTTTGTACTGATATTCCCATCCACAGTTCTCCATTTCTTCAAAATTGAAGTAAAAACAAAGAAAAAAAATTATATCTGGTTTAGATTAGTTGTCTCTATGGTTCAATGCATTTATTAAAATTTTTCAGACAAATATATCTACTTTTATATCCAACAAATTAACAAAAAAAGGGCATACCTTTACAGACCTAAGGGGACGGTCCCCTTACATCTATTATCTTGTGGCTTATATGTGTATCTAATTAGCATATATTGAACTTCTTGTCATATCTGCTCAAGGGAGAAAATTGGATTGACAAAACATAGCATATCAACCCTAAATAAAGGGGATAGGTACTATTCTTGCAACAAGTTACCTATTACATAAGAGAGGTAATATGGAGTCTTGCACATGGGTAACAGTCTATTACCATCTGGATAAATGAAATCAAAGGCAAATATGTAGACTGGAAAATGGCAAAAAAGCTAAAAATATTTATGCTAAATAACATAGCAATGGGGAGGCACAGAGTCTTGTCACCTCACTGCAAATGAGTGCTCGCGTGCGCCCAGCCTACATGCTGTACACCCAACAGAGCAGCCACTTGTGTAAGCCTAATGTCCATAATTTCATCCTTGTGGCTGCAGCTACATGCTTGTACC